TAAGTTTAAAGAAAAAGCTTATGAGAACAATGTATCTTTTCAATGGTTCCCAAAAGCAAAAAGACAATAAAGCACCAAACATCCGGAGCTTTTGAAATCTCGCGGCCAGGAAAATCAAGAAACGTCTTCACAGCAAACCTAATCCAGAAAAAAAGTTACTGTTTTGCATTTCAAATTTTAAATAACACAAAGTTAGACTGGGAGAACTTACTTTCAAAGCCTTATTTTCACTTCTTTCCATAGCAGCTATCAAGGTGCAGAAGGCTCAGAGTTTTACAGCAAAAAAATAGAAAGAAACGGCAACTTGTCTTCCAAGAACAGTTCTAGAAACGTGGAAGTTTTAGGAACGGTCGATATATGCGTACAGAGTGTCCCACGACGTCACCCGCGTATTTAAAACCATACGTCTTTGAATTCTGAACCTCTGCAACAATTTGGAATTTCTTTTGGGACCCCAAAGATTCCCTTAGATGGACCGTACCAAATATAATCGAGAATATTTTGGACTGCATCTTTCTTCCATCATGTTTTCATTATGGCCACTCTTTGCTTCGTGGTTAAACCGCTCTCAAATTTTATAATATCCCGTACAAACCAAAGGACATTCCTGGATCACCATTTAGAAGCTCCATTTTCAGTCCTACTCATTCCCGATTTAGAGTGAAACTTTTTCAAAGCACAATTTCTTTAACTATGGCGAAATCCCAGTGGTCTTGGCACAATTCCAATGTGTTATGCGGAGACACCCTGGAGTCACAAAGACCACATAGTTCCCTACCTTTGCTTTCTTCAGGCATGAAGCCGCTATCATACTTGCGAATGGTTACTTATATCACCTATCCAATGCGTGTATTCACTAAAGCCGGACAGTTTATGCTCTACAACACGAAGCAAGTCAACATTGTCTTTGGCTTTTTTCGCATAACATGACGGAGTTCGTGAAACCGTCCGGTCCCAGCTGAGTTTAGTCCTGCTTGAAAAGCCCGAGTTTTTTGTAATTTTCCTGCTATTAATTGGGAACTGACGTATACGACGTAATGGTTTTCCTCAAGTTTCCCAAGTTCCTTTCCACTCTGCTCAGAAAGATTACTGTTACTCAGGAACACTTGCAACGGCTGTGCTAAAAATAAGGAGTGACAGTCGGCTGTATGCACAGCCTCTGTCGTCTTCAGCAACATTTTGGTAGAAAAATGTTAGAACTTTCATTAAATAAGTCTTTATTTACTTTTTTTGCCACTTATGCAGCTTTTCATAATGGGTGTTCTAGCTAGATCGGCGTCCATACGACAAGATCACATCCTGATAAAGTTCATTATACACAAAATATACTTATTTTTCAGAACTTCAGGGTGTGCAGAGCATAACATGGCGAATAAGAAAATAAATTTGCACAGAACCAGCTTTATGTTATTCTGGTGTTAAATATCTCATCATATCCGACTTTCGCTTGTAATACAGAGCCATACGATCCAATCCGTTTTCGTAAAAGTCA